TCAGACATTTTGAATAATAGTCCAAAGCACGATCATACTCGCCTTTGCAGTAATATACATTGCCAATATTATTGAGTATTCGAGCTGATTCTTTCTCAGGCACTGGCTTACTCATCATTGTTGCATAGCTATGCTCGTACAGCTGCAGTGCTTTGTCGTACTCGCTTCTGAGCTCGTGAGCACGACCAAGGTTAAACTCAATGTGACTTATATTTTCACCTTCATGATTTTGAAATAGATTCTCAAAGTACTTCATCGATTTGTCATACTGTCCCATATCACAAAGAAGTGAACCAAACATGACCGCAACGCTTCTTTCCTTGGGCTCTTTTCTATTCAACTTGATATATTCTCGAGCTATATCTGCTCCTTCGCTTTTTACTCTTAGGTTTACACGACTAAGATCCGACTTTTCACGATTAACTGACTGAATTTTGAAAGTTGCACCTAAATCAAACAAGATTTCCTGCTCTTCTGGATAATCGCTAAACTTAGCGACGTCAGCACACACAATGTCATCATCATTTAACTCAGTGAAATTATACTCAATCTCAAAGAGAACAACAACAGCGTCTCGACGCTTCGTCGACTGAGATGCGAAATTCAGAGCCACTGAAGACAAACGGCTTGTTGACAGAAAACCATTCATGGAAATGAGTTTACCTTCATTCTCTTTCAGCTTTTCAACTTCTTCATTCGACAGTTTCACACCACGATAGACTCGAAGCACACCCTTCTCGCTCTCTCTCATCTTCTTATACTCTTGTGCAAGACTTGAGCACAGATCGGTGATGAAAAAGCGAAATATGTGCAGTTGTTCGATGTCTTCTGTACGTAGAGCTTTGTTTATGAGTTTATAAACGAACGACTGTCGTGTATACCATCGAATAGCGTCAGCTCTTCGGTAAGTGTCACTGAATCCTTGGATGACTTCCACTTCTTTTGTGTTCCCACGATAATACTCGCGACACTTTTCAATCATCTGTCGTTTCCCATGATTATCAGGAGGCATTTGGATAATTAAATCTTTGAATAGTTGAAACCACAGAAAGGATGCAGATTCGCTAGTTAAATCACGAGTCGATTTTTGTTGATTATAAAAGCTGAAAGCTTGGATTTGTTTCTCAACCAGATTGATGTTGGTTTTGATCGACTTTGCGAGTTCTTCATGTTCGCTGAATATTCCGATTATTTTCGAGTACTCATTTTGGAGATGTTTGTACTTGTTTGGTTTGAGACAAAAGATAAATATGGAATCGATTTGAGATTGAGTCTCGACATGAGACAAAAGATCGATGGCACATTTGCCCGATGTGACAAGAAATATTCTCTCATTTTGAACGTTTGTGATGTGATCAATACATGAGTCTAACTGTGTGTGGAAAACAACGAAGTCGTTGATTTCTCTCAATATTGTCATAGTGCGTTGTGTGTCATCATCTGAACCCATGTTCGGATCAAGCCAGATCAATGTCACACTCTCTTTGTTTTCATGATCTGATGTTCTCTGACTAGTGGCAGTGGTCGATAGTTGAAGTAAAGGAGGAGATGCTTCTAATGCGGATTGTGCATTTTCATTGGTTTTTGTGTATGAAGATGATGACGCTTTGGATATATTTGTTGCTACTAATGGAAGTGGTGAAGATGTTGACTCTGTATCATGCTTTTCGTTGCTCAGCCAGTATTTGTGAGAAGTGGAGGACGAGGATGAGACTATCACTTTAGTCTTAGAGTGCATGTGTTGTCGTTGGGGTGTTTTAAAATTAAAGAGTAGAAGAACTGAGATGATTGGGCTATTGTAGTGTTAATGACTGTATCACATAACTATTAGTGTCTGCTCTTTTGCTTTGTTGGAAATAAGAATGATGCTACAGCGAAGAAGCGTACATACTTCCAGTTTGCAGGCATTGATTCAGTAGGCGTAAAACTCTTCTTGCTGTGGACTATTCGTGTAGTTTGTTGTGAACAGAATCGATTAGTGGAAGAATAATAACAGTCTTTTCGTTGTGAGGAAACGTAATGAGAATAAAAGTGATGGGGAAAGTGTATTTGTTCTAGTTGATAAGAGAATGATGTCGAAAAGTGTTTTGCTTTCATGAAATGAAACAGCATACTGTCATAAAACAAACAGAGAACAGGCGAATGATTCTTAATCTCAACTAGTTAAATAAAGGCAAGTGTGTCGTCGAACAAGAAGCACTACTTTATTGAAAAAAACGGCGTATTAATTCAAGGCAGAAGAGAATCTTCTTCTGTTTTATCCAGCAATAAATAGATCACAAAGATGATCACTAGAGAGCACTTCTAGAAAAAAAGAAACAACAGAAAGGAAGACCTTATGCGCAATAACACGTGTGCATAACGAGTGAGGATAATTCTCGCTCACTTACCTACAACAATGTGTAACACCACCTCACTATTGGTCGTGGTTCTTTTTATTTTTCTCTAATGCATACGGCATTTTGTACCATTCATCACTTTTCACATATATTAACGGTAGTTGACCACAAATGTCCTATTACATTGAGTCTAAACTTATTTTTGTCAATGTTTAGGCTCCCACAACATGGGAGCGATGTAGAAACGTTCTTTAGACGGGTCTATAGACTCTAAATGAAGATTGTGAAACGAACAAGTCATAGTTCTTCATTAATTTCTTTTTGTTTTGTCCAGACAGAAATGGATGATGCCATGTAAAATGGATGTTTGGTTGATCCGATAAGCTCTTGTATTAAAAATCGAATGCTGTACTTTCACTTATATCTAAGACTAAAGATGTGTTCTCCATTCCTAGATGAATTTGATCTCAGTCGAGCCTGTTTCCGCTAAAATCTGACCGAACAACGGTCTAGTAGGGATAGCTTATACGGCAGGATCCCACCAGATACAATCGTGCAATAAACTAACAGTTCTAGAAAACAAGATTTTCTAAAAATCAATCTTGATTCTCCATCGAATTTTTAGTTTGAAATCGTCGTTGGGGCTTTACTAGGGATAGAGATGGGACGAAAGACTACCGACATGTTTATAAGAAATGAACATGTTCTATACAAAACATATCTTTTTATTTCCTTATTTCGTTGAACGTTTGGACTAAAGAGAAAGACTTGTTTGTATGATAATTAATAAAGAAAAGAACATATTGTAGAGCAGTCTGTTTTTTCTTTCCAGTTAAAGAACATGTCGCAATCCGTTCATATTTTCGTAATATGTATCGCAATAAAGAGAATGAAGATGATGGACTTAACGACATGTCGTTAAGGAAATTGTTCTATGTATTTCTTTCGTTTACAAAGGAAATACGTTAATTTTGCGCTAAACGAAAGACAGGAATAAAAGTTGTAATACACTAATACAGTATAACATAAACTATCATCGATGGGAATGTGAAATAAAATAATGTAATGTATAGAATATAGCAAGTTACAAAATTAATTGAAACTAAAACTATTTATAAAGTTTAGTACATTTTTGCTTGAACTGTGTATTTTCAATAATTTTCTCATGTATGATTGTGTATAGTACAGTAGGCGTTTATGTCTTATCTTGTAAGTTAACTTTATACAATCATTATTCCATTTAACAAGAAAAAACTATAAAAAGACAATAATGAGGGAAGTTATGTCAGTCATTTCAAAATATTTTTCGAGATCACATCATATTACTACTTTGTCATTTTATTATATCCTATCTTCTTTCATGATCTCCACAGCTTCCTCTTCATTCGTTCTTTCTACAACAACTTCTCAAACCCAAAGTATTTCATTAGCTAATCATAAGACTAGAGTTATAAAACGTAAGAGTCGAAGTTTAGTATGGAATTACTTTTCTAAACTTACCGATGACAATGCACTATGCACACTTTGTCAAGCAACAATAACACGTACAGGAACTACAACATCTTCATTTATTTATCATTTATCAAGTAAACATCCAGAAGAACACAATCTTATGAAAAAGAAATTAAGATTAACCAAGAAATCTGAATTCACAAGTTTACCGTTAGACAATGAACGGAGTCAATATTTAACACGTTTAGCTGCCGAATTTCTAATTTATAACCTTCTTCCTATGAGTCTTGTCGACTGTCCGAAATTACAAACAATTTTTACTGAAATTGAACCATCATATGGGTTACCGTGTAGAAAATATATGATGAAAACTGTATTGGAAAAAATGTATAATGATACACGCACACAAGTTGCCAATGAATTAAAAAATACTAATGGTAAGTCGTCGATCAGTTTTTTTTCTCAAAGTATGTTTATTGCAAGTACGAAAATCGTTTCACTACAAGAACCGCTACTACCTACTGTACCTAACTAGTCCCAAAATGGAATCACGTGTACAAAGTGAAATCTTTTCCAATTCTTCTCTTCTATCTTTTCCCCTACTGGACGATTAAAGAAATATGCTTAACCATATTTTTTTAAGGTGTATGCTTGACGATGGATGGTTGGTCATCACAAACTGGACAGGCTTATCTAACCGTTACTGCACATTTTATTACGAAGGATTATGTTTTAAAATCAGTAGTATTAGTTACAATCGAATTTGAAGGAAATCATACAAGCGAACGATGTAATGCATTCTTGGAAGAACTTTGCATTGAATGGCTTATATTTCACTTAATAACCTGTCTTGTGTCAGATAATTGTAGCGCAATGAAGAAAACTGGTGTAATGTTTGGTAGAGGTAAGAATTATAATTACCAAAGTATGGAAATGCTTTACAATTTTGAATATATTAATTTAGGCTGGTTTGGTTGTGGAGATCATTTAATTAATTTATGCGTTCAAGATGCATTAAAATTATGTGAAGTATCGGAAGCATTAACAAGTATTCGAAAAGTGGTATCACATGTGAAAAATAGTCATTTGGCCAGAGAACATTTTCATCAACAACAATTCCACCTTAGTACGTAGATTCCATAAAAAGCCTAAGGATTAAGATGCCCTGACACAGGAAACTGAGATTAGTGAACTAATGCTGAGCAGTGCGGGACATTACACTTATCTTAAAGTCATTCACTATGTGGGTATACCTTGAAGCCTCTTATTCTATCTGTTGTTATTTAGATTTAACTGAACGACAACTGCTATCGGATGTTGTAACAAGATAGAACAGCACCTACTATATGCTGGAGCGTGCTATAGATGAAAGAGAATCAGTTACATTATGTTTAGAAGAGAAAAGTTTTCAAAAACATTTAAATCAAGCTAAATTGAGTACAGGAATTTCATGGGATTTACTAACGCAGATAAAAGTGAGTTAGATCGTTTATTTCATTGTACTACTACTACTATAGGCGCCAAAATATGACGCACTCCCTGGGGTTTCTTTATTCTTCAGTCTGGCACCTTCAAAATGCATGAAAACATAGAATTCATAACTCAGTCAAGATTCATCCAAGCTATTTCAGAATATCAAGATATTTTATCTGCACTATACCGTACAGGTCAATAAATGTGTTAAAAACTAACAGACAAATAATTTGGCTTTTGGAAAGGTTTCCTAGAAACCGTCGGAACTAAGAGAATATTTTTTATTGATCTTAATTACAGAATTGGATAGAGTGGTTAAAAATTACTGTGTCAGATTCCAGAAATCCGAAGTAGTTCTCCAAAGATCTTGTAGAAAAGCGATCTTCTGAATGTTTTCGAAATATGATCTGGCTTCTGAAAGTATAGCTTAAACTGTCCTTCTTTGATTGCTGAAAGCCACATGTCTCTGCCTTTTATTGTTTTTGAGTTATTTGAAAGTCAACCGAGTGCCTTATATTTTGGCGGCGATAACAATAATAATAATAATTTCTTGTTTTTCTGCTTCGTTTCAGTGCATATTAAAGCCTTTTGAAACAGCCACGAGAGAATTATCATCTGAAGCACAACCAACTATGTCAAGAGTTTTGTCTGTGGTGACTGCATTATTTAATAGTTTGGAACCGGATCCAAAAGATTCTTCATTGCAACAAAAAGTGAAAAATACGATAAGATCTGGAATGGAAAGAAGGTTTGAAAATGTTTATAAAGAAGAATTGGTAAGAATTGCTTTTTGAACTAAGAGCAACTACTGGGTCTTTTTGATCATTCTACTTATTTATTGTAGAATATTTTTATTTTCAGGTTTTGCTATGTACAGTACTTGATCCAAACTTTAAAAATTTTTTGTTCGCTACTTTAACGTTTTATGATAAAAGACCAACAACAAAGGCATTAATTGATAAAATGGGAGCATTTACTTCAAAACAAGAAGCATATAATTTATTAAAACAACAATATGATTTAGTAAATCCATACAATACACAATCTACAGTAACAACACAACCATGTAGAATAACATCAGATTCTAATGATCACAAGGAAACAGATCTTTTTGATTTTATGGTTGATGGCGGACATTCGAATCAAGCACAAAGTCAATCTCGTGCCATGAATGAATTTGAAATATATTCAAAAGAAGAACAAATACCAAAAAGTTTATCATCCTTAGAATGGTGGAAATCAAAACAGACCAAATATCCAGTGTTATCAGAACTTGCACGCAAATATTTATCAATTCAATCATCGTCTGCACCATCAGAAAGAATTTTTTCAACTGCTGGCCTGATAACATCTGATCGTAGATCACGTTTAACACCCGACAATGCCGACACTATAATTTTTTTGAACAAAAATATGAACTGGTAAATTAATTTTATAAACAAAAATATTTTGTGTAGTATAATATATAGCTAAAATTCTTTACATTTACGAATAAGATTGTGATAATTTGTAATATTTATGAACATGACGCAGGCAATAAATTTATCGAGAATATGTCGTTATTATTTGGCTGTTCTTAAAAACATGTTGTTAAGAGTGGAAGAAAAGGAGACAAAAAAAAAATTCATTTCGTATCACTAACGTTAGCTCTTTCCTTCCCTTTCGTTATAATAAGTTTCATTTTCCTATTCCTTTCTTTTCGTTTTGATTCTTATCGACATGTTTTTGATCGGAAAAAAATAGAATAGCAAAACGAAAAAGATATAAGACATGTTCTTTCGTTCTCTTATTACGCAACTTACGTCTTTCGTCCCATCTCTAACTAGGGAAGCCCCAAGGCATTTTCTACTTCTTCCTGCTTCTACCATTGATTTTCTATGTTTTACTTCCACGAGTTAAAATTTGGGTTGATTCCAGAAATTAAAGCAACTCCTTGGACAATACAAAGTAGACACAATAAAATCAGCGCTTGAAGTGAACTTCGTCAGCTGTGTATTGTTAGAATTCTACAAAGCAGTCATATCGTATTTATTTTGTCTCCAACGATTCTCAAGTTAATTTTATCTGTCTATAAGTTTTCCTGTTTATAGCTGTTTTCAAATGTTTCGGTCCACATTTGATAAAATTTGTGGCCAAATGGAGAGCACGTTTGAAAAATGGATGAAAAGATGTTTTTGCGGATTGATTTGTTTGCACGGTTGTCGGTGGCTCGTCCAGTTTAGATCTCTAACGTTGATTTGGCAGTAATCGTGTTGACTTTGGTTCTGGAAAAGGGAATCAAGAGTACGTAAGCGGTCGTAGAAACATAATCAAAACGTGGTAGTGTAGAGGTGAATGAAGAATTCGATTGACACTAATATAAACGTAGGAAAACTTTGATCTTCTCGAAGATACGAGAAAAAATATTCCCTGTGGAATTTATCTATGTAAATGTTTTAATCTTATTCTCTTTGAGTGTGCCTATCATTTGATATCATCTCAAAATCTTTCTATGAAATAAAGTAATTTAAAAAAGTTTTTCGTTTATTTGTATCTTTAATTTTAGCAGTGCGTCACTGAATAATTCAAATAACACTATACTTCCCTGCTAGAAGTTGTGGATAAAATAGGAGGATCTATACCGAAGTATCTTTCTGTCTTATGCTTATTACCCTAGTGGAACTTCTTATACCCAAGATCTTGGTCAAGATCTTGGGTTAAGAAATGTCACAAGATCTTGGAAAAAACACCAAGAAGTCAAGATCTTGGGTTAAGAAATTTCAAGATCTTAGGTGGCGTAAGCCAAGATGTTTCAAGTTCTTGGATTCTTGAATCTGTCACTCAAGATCTTGGCCAAGATCTTGTATTAAGAAATTTCAAGATCTTGAGTGAATTCTTCCTTAAACAACTATGGTCACGAATAGGGATGTTCGGTTCTCGCTAAGAACCGGAACCGCGGTTCGGTTTTGCGTGAGGAACCGGAACCGCGGTTCTCTTGTTTTCGGTTCTTCAGCTGGAACCGGAACCGCGATTCTCTTATTTTCGGTTCTTCATCGG